ACTAGTAATTGTTTTGTTTGATACCAAAAAAGAGAGATTGATTCTTCAGTATTCACAGATAAGGCTAAATTAGAAGAGTATATTAGTCCTACCTTTGAAAGATAGTTAGGCCTAACACCAGGGGCGCACTGGCTTTATGGGCATTTGGGCAAATGCCCGGTGGGCCGGTACCTAAATGGGCCGTAGGGCCAACGAAAGGGCCGCATGGATGCCATTATGTATTAAATTGTTAACTGTTTTATAATATTCTCTCTTCTGAGCATCGTGCTAATGGGACAGCTCTCTACAGTGTCAAACTAATTGGATGTAACATTTTTTCTGAAATAATGTAATAGCCTACATCCGTGGACAGTGCTACTGGTGAGCTTTATCTTTTTATGGCCTACACACTTTGCGATTAAAAAGCAACATAAGGCCCATATTTCTAATAAATACACTGTATGCACGTACACAGTTATTGATACTCAAACTTAACGTAATGATTTTGAGATCAGGCATGTCTATAAATGAATGCCCATCCTATGATATGCAATTTATGAGCCTCATTGTATAGAAATGCCCGGGCCGATTTTAACACCCAGTCCGCCCCTGCCTAACACTATTTCTCCCAGACGCATTCTCCGATCAAGTTGATACTTAAAACAATTTTTTATTTTACTTAACAAAACATGAATGAATATAAAAAAAATTACCAATTATCCAATAAATTTGAATTAATTATTGGTGTTTAATAATTTCGATTGATATAGAACAAGGGAAATAACTTCTACATTATTGACGGATATAATTGTAAAGGAGCTTTCCGTTTTAGAAAATAATCCGTATTTTGCAGCAATTTTGCTTGTTAGTGAGATATATCTTGTTTAAAGTAGCATTATTAATTTGTTTTTCTGCATCTTCATTAAAGCTGTATAGTTATATTTATATTATATATATATTTATAATGAAAAGTTGTGCACAGTTTTGTTCAAGCTGAAGGCTTACATTAAGAATAACAAACGACTACACTGGTTTCGCTGTGGTACATTAGGAGATAGAAGCTAACAACCGACTTATCAACAACCATATTCTACTATCATTTCCTGATCGAGTTATAGTTCTGTTATTCTTATCGCTGTACTGGTCGTGTTATATTTCTGTTATTCTTATCGCTGTACTGGTCGTGTTATATTTCTGCTATTCTTATCGCTGTACTGGTCGTGTTATATTTCTGTTATTCTTATCGCTGTACTGGTCGTGTTATATTTCTGTTATTCTAACAGTCAGAGAATGAGACGTGGTCCAACATTAGCAGCAAGCTTCTCATTCTGTATGACGAGACGCTAGACTTCCATCCTGAATTTCAAGGCTTCTCAACTTACAGACACAGGCCCAAGCAAGCTGATGTTGTACTTCTTGGGTACCCACTGATGGTGGATATGAAGTTGTCGACGCGGAAAAATGACTTGATGATTTACGAAGAAGTAAGGGTGATAATGCCAGCTAAAATAAATGTACTTTCACTTTGACTTAGAGTTACTTGCCGTTGATGAAATAAGAAATAGAGATGACTGTTAACGAATAATAAAATTATTTATAAATTAACGATACCATTAAAATCAATTAATTTTTAATTTCTAAACTTTACTTTTGTGTGTGCATTCTCCTATAATTCTGTACCAAAATTAAACATTTTCTGATTACAAACAAAAATGTTATTGAAGTTTTATCATAACATGGTAGAATGTACAAATGTGAAAAAAAAAAAAGGAACAATTCTGTCAGAACGTGGCTAAATAATTACGAAGATAAAAGAGTTACAACCAAAAAAGTTTTTACAAAATGAAACAAGTATTGTAAGAGTGGACTTTCTAAATTTTATTTTTTAGCAATAAACCATCGGTCAATATCAGCTCTAACATGTTGTTGTTGTTTTTTTTATTTTTGGAAATGAAAAATTACCGTAATATATATGTGTTGCCCTATTAGAAATTAAGTTTTCTAAATTCATAATATGAACTATTTAATGTATCTTTAATTAGTTTCGGTTTTTAAATTATTTTTTTTAAAGTGTTGTTTTCCCTTCTTCGGCTTGTTACCAGTCGGTTATATAAGGGAAAGTACTACTCAATCAATGTCCTTTCTCTGAATACTGTTAGGAGTGTAAAGTATTTCCTTTTAAAATAAAACAAATTAATTACCACTAATTGTTTAACTAACTGGTTAATCTTTTGATCGATTCATGTGTTCTCATCGACAATAAATAATTTTGCAAATTTGCAGCTTGACCCGAGAATGAGAAAAGAGAGAAAAAAAGGGCAAAACAATTCTGCCTGATTGACAGACAAACAGACAGACAGACGGAGAGAGTTAATATAAGCATTTTAAAAACAAAGAAAAACAAAAAAAAAAGGTTTTCCTCATTGTGCATTTCTTTACATGTGTTTATCTCTGCCAATGTGTCACACAATATAAAAAATATTTCCCTTGAGATAGATTCGTTTGTAACAAAACGTGTTGCTTTGCCCCAGATCACGTCAACAGGACCCGCCATGACCTGGGGGATGTTCTTGTTGGGTTGGCTGGAGCTAGACAATGTCACAAAGGCAAATGAGCTGTACCAGAAAACTGTGGCTAATGCGCAGGAGCCATTTCTGGTAAGTGTTGTTTTTTTATTTATTTATTGTTAGATTTTGTCATTACTATGAGATGTTAAGTATCGATGTTATGGAGTGTGTGTATCTAGTGCAGTAGCGGCCTTAGAGTGTGGCAACCGCCCCAGGCCACGCGTCTGAGGGGGGCCCCGCAATAGGAGATTCCCCTTGTCACCGTCAGATTCGACAACCAGACCAGTTCTCATCAACATTGTGGATCAATATTTCAGGGCATCTATATGATACCAATTACCATGTAAGCTTTTAACATGACATTTTTGGTTTCGAAATACCTCTCAGTTTCGATAAAGACATCATCTCTTGACCTGTACATTCTAAGTGGCTATCACTTTAATTAACAGTTCACCTCGGTATAAAAAAACAACCAATCAAAATCGTTTATTTCAGTACTGATATGTCGCCCTACGGTATAAAAAAAAATTGTGCGTATAGAGTAAAAATACTGTTACTTTAGTTTGCAATAGAGGGGAAAAAATAGAAACAAGGTTGTGTGAGAAAGATTCCATGTTTTGTAGGCCTACTGTGGCCTAGTTCGTAGAGTTATTTCGGCCAATCAGCATCCAGAAAGTTTGACGATAACGTATTATTATATTATTATAGCTTTTATAAAGCGCTACTTTCATGCTTATAGCATGCTCAGTGCGCTTTTGGTCCAATCTCTTTTCTGGACCAGTGTGGGGGAGGGGAGTATCTAGGAGTTGGTTTTCCGTGCTGCCTTTAGGCGCTCAGTAAACACGACTCGGGACTCTACCCGAGTCGGATGTCGAACCAAGTGCACTTGGCCTCTCGACCACGCTTCCCACGTATTCATTTTTTCCCTGATAGGCTACTGTGCATATACATCGGGTGTTTCTGTATTAGTTGGTTTAGTTACTGTGTCAATGATAAGTTGGTCTAGTTGTCTAAATTCTAAAAACTCTATTATTGAACACTTCCAATGTACCCATTTAGTGCACTTTTGAGTTGTTATTTCCTTTTTAAAGTAAACCGATGCTAATAACCAATTTTAACCGATCCAGGTCCTAATAGGTCAACTTTCACTTAGATCTAGGGACATTTCCAATTCCTCATAATGATTTCTTATTTCTATTATATATTAAGCCTTAAATATTAGATATAGAGCTAGTTCCAGATATTTTCATACACAAGTTATAGATCTTCCTCTACATCAGCGGTTTTTAACCTTTTTAGCTCGGCGACCACTATTTACTATTTACAACAATGCGGCGACCCCCAACAGTAAAATTATTGTCGTCCATAAGCATAAACAACTTTGCTTTTGCTAATGGTATAAAATGTTAAAAAAGAACAGACGACGTTGGACAGGTCAAATTGAAAGAATGTCAGATAACAGAGGAGCGAAAGTCGTATACAGGCAAAAAACCAAAAGGCAGGCGACCCAAAGGCAGACCCCGAATGAGATGGGTTGATGATGTGGAAGCAGATCTGCATCAGCTTGGGGTTAGGGCGTGGAGACGAAAGGCCCAGGAGAGATCTGAATGGAAGGATGTGTTGAAGCAGGCCAGAGCGATCCATGGGCTGTAGCGCCACTGGGATGGATGGATGGATAAAATGTTATTCAAATGTGATTAATTGTTATGTCTAGTCTGTGCAACCCATGTATGGCCAAAAATATATTATTGGCAATGAAAGAGAACAAATCAGGTTATGACACTGCTACACTAAACCCAGATTTCAGTTACTGACAATAAAGAGAAATCAATTTTTGCTTTAACGCTATTATTGAGTTGCATAACTCTTTCTTTCTTCTCCGGAACACCTTCATCTTTGACTGTGAATGGAATTCTGGCAGGGGCAAAAGGGGCCCGCCATCCACAGGTTGAGAACCCCTGCTCTATATAACCGTGAAATCTTTTAGAAAGGGATAATTTTAAAATAACAATGGTATTCTTGTGTTCTGTTTGTAAACCTATAATTTACCTCGATTATTTGTATATTTCAGGTGTGGGCTGAATACGCCGATGGAGATGGCGCCACCAACTTTCTAACTGGAATGGGCGGCTACCTTCAGATGATTCTTTTTGGCTACGGTGGATGCCGGATACGCGATGAGACGCTGACCTTCAAACCCGTCCTTATGGAAGGGTCAAACGAGATGACCTTTATAGGAATCGACTATCGTGGATGTAGCTTCGATCTTCGATACTCGGATACGGAAATGACGCTTAATCAAACACATGTCACGTGCGGGTCTATAGGCCTGTCAGTCAGGTTCAATGATTCTGGTGCCTGGCACAGCTTGACCACTGGTATACCAATGACTAGGGAAAGACAATCATTTGAAATCAAAAGCTTGCCGTGACGTTCAAATGACTTTTTGAGATTAAAAGCTCAATAACCATTCCAATGTGGTCACCACGTGACCAGTCAGAACCAATCAGAGCCTGTAGAGGCTACAGACAAGTATTGTTAATCGTAGATCTTCTACACGTGTACCATCAGACGTTAAGCAAGGAAATATTCGACCACCACATGACCAATCAGGCTACAGACACTTATTCCTAATCATAGATCTTCCACAATAAGACATCACGTGCACTACAGTCCATTCGTTTCAAGCTCCACTTTTTATAATAAAATATGTGGTGTCAAGCACTTTTCTATCTGACGGGCATGAAATGTTCTAACAGCGTCAAAGACTGATCATCTAACAAGAAAAAAAATTTTTTTAATACTTTAAAATAAAAAAAAAAGCTTATCTAAGAACTGCGACATTACTGCCAGTAGCGGCCTTAGGTGTGGCAAGTAGGGCAACCCCCGCGAACAAAGATTTTATTGTCACCAACTTTGAACACCAAATCAATTGTAATAAACTAGGACTTGTTACTCAATATTTTCACAGTATCGTTATGATAACAGTTACCATTTAAGCTCTTAACATACATTTTTGGTTTCGAAATACCGTTCAGTTTCGGTAAAGACAGTATCTAATGACCTGCCGATTCTAAAAGGATATCATCGTTTAACAGTTCACCTTAGCATCAATAAAAACACGTAGGTTGAAGCAACCAATCCGAATCGTATATTTCATAATCAAACATCGACGTCAAAACGGATTTTATTAGGAAAATGCGTAGTAAACACTAAACACCAGAAATTATTAGTTCAAATAGAAAAATGATCCATATTTTTCACTAGGATGGATGCCTGGTCGTGTGGTATGCGCACTGGAACGTTTGGCTGGTTTCGATGGTCCCGGGTTCAAACCCTGTAGAAAGAATATTATTTCATTTTGTTACTAATTAGATCTTAATCTCAAGTTGAATTTGTGTTTATTGTCAATAAAAGTTGAGTTTTTGTTCACAAAAGAAGCTTATTCAAGTTATTTCAAGTTTATATATATATTTATTTATATATAATACACATTCACCTATCCCTTAAAAATGCTTAGTCCGTTGAACCGTTGGAGCACTACACAAGATCTGTTGACCGTCTCCATTCCTCTCTGTCTTTTGCTTGGGTAGAATTTCATTCAATGACAGGCCCGTCCATTTTTTTATGTTGTCTTCCCATCGCTTTCTCTGTTATCCTCTTCTTCTACCTGGCACTGTTCCCTGAAGGAAGGTCTATACGACCCCTGAGGACCTTGTGACGTGACCATAGGGTTTTAATTCGCTGCATTAATCATGTTTCTAATCTCTTCGTTTGTGAAGTCTCTTTGTACCCACTTATAAAGACCGCAAAATACGCCTACAATACATAGGTTTAATTGTACTAGCTGTCCAGAACTACAATCCAGCGACCGACTGGCAACACTTAGTAATTTTAAATAATTCTGCTACCATCTCCAGCCCTGAACTTTTGTCTCTGTACAATGTACATTCTGAGTCAAACTTTAGGTCTCAAAATTTTCACCCGCAAATTTTCTTTTTCTGAGTGGTAAGGTGCTTGACTTCTGAACCAAGAGACTCGAGTTCATATCTCAGTCAAAGCTGGGATTATTACGATGCCTAAGAGTCCACGCAACTCAAATGGGTACCCGACATAAATTGGGGTTTGAGTTTTGGGCACATTGGCACAACATTCTTCTTCTTCTTCTAGCCAGCTTTATTGCTGCTGAGCTGTGAGCTCTTTTGCAGACTGTGCCAAGGAAAAAAAGTGTGCTGTTCTCTTCCGTTGTTCAGCACTGACGTACAGGGTGTTTGGTTATGTTGGGCTCAACATAAAGTGGAGAAGTAAGGGCGGTTGGTCGTTGAGATGACCATAAAGACACAGAAACAGATGACCTTTACATCATCTGCCCCAATTGGTCACAAGGTCTCAAATGGTTAACGTACGCTCTGCTTACTTTTCTATATTATAAAAGTAAGCTTTTTGATTTTGCGAAGATTACTTGTTCGTGGTTTCTTTCCTTTTTGTATTTGCGGAGTTTGAGGACCGTCTTTTGGTCTTATCTCTGGTGTTAACATGTTTTTGTTCAGAGCTTCTGGATTGGTCATCTTGGATTGTATGGCGCTAAAACAGAACCTGGAAGGTTTTGATAGTGCGAGAGGTCTTGAGAAAGAATTTGTGCAAGCGGGGGATCTCGCCCTAAATGGAGACAGGGAAACTCTGAGGGACACTGCCAGATACCTGTATCGTACAACAAAATATTGAGTCACTGTATGGAGCTTTAGTACATGGAGGATTTCGAATGATGACCCATTCAGTACCTTACTGCGTTAGCTTCATGATTTCTGGGTTCTGCACCATTTTTTCACCATCCAGTCTTCTCTTTTCTTTAGCAACAAATGTAAACATTGAGTGAGGTCATTCAATGAAATAGTGACAAACGAGATTCTTTACTTTTTATTCCTGTTCAATCAAAGTTTAAAAAAAAAAAAAAAAACACAAAGTGCTGATACAAAACAAAGTTATTGCAACAATAAATGTCATCTTTACGAAAAACTTTTTTTTTTTACTATAATTAGATTCTCATGATGGAACAATTTTTACATTTTAGTAAATTTCCAGATTAGAACCAATACAAGTTATAACAATGTGATTAAGTCTAGTATTATTTTTTGCGTTAAAACAAAATGTATCTTAATTGGTCACCGAAGTTCAATAATAGTTATTACTAAAACAGTAATATGAACAGATCAAGCGAATGAAAAATAAACTTGCGACAAGGTAATGAAATGATGATATGCGAAATAACTACAGCAGTAACAAATATTTCTCAAAGTACAATATATTTTCCAACTTAAGCTAGTATCGACTCACTTTTCATAGAGTTCACTGTCCTTAAGTGTTAGAGATACATTAAAGTACAGTATAAGAAAGTAAATGAAATGTAGCTTCTATTACACTGAGTTTTTACTTCAGCAACTGTATCCTTCCAAATCTAAACATAATAATGATTTAGATTGTTTCGTTTTTATGGTTACTGAAAGGCAAGGTTTCCATACTTAAAGTTCTAAGTAGTTAGTATCTACAATATATTCAGTAATTGATGTCCATAAAACAAACAAGAAAAAAGTGTGAACACTTCTCCGGCACTGTTCCAGCACTAGGAACTAGATTCCACACTTTTCATTCATACGAAATCACTTTTCAGACAACAATAATAATTCATACACTTTTGTTTGGTGATCAATCAATTGTTGCTTGTTAAACTAAACATGGCTCCCATAACATTAAGCGTTAAGAAATTATAGAAGAATTTATTTTAGTTCATTTTAGAAAATCTTTTCTTACAAATTACAGATGTTCCTTCAGAAAAGACGATAACGTCCCATTTGTATCTATGTGTTTTTCTAGTCATGCATGTTAATTAGAGACTAAACTCTACTAAGTCATTGGTTTTCCTGGCAACTCCTTCCATGCTCAAATGGTACTAGAATAGAAGAAACATTTGAACTAATTTGTCCTGGCATTTGGAAAAAGAAATACCTGGTATGCCTTTTTGCCAGAGTGTTTTTGTATTTGTAAATTAGCTTTGTTAGTTTAAGAGTTAACCAGTTATAGTAGCATTGTTAATTTTAGCCAACTGAAAGTGAGGAAGTTATTTAGTTTACTTAAATTTATAACATTATAATATAAGTTATAGTAGTAAATACGGTATTTTAAATATTGTGAACTAATAAAGTAATATAATTAACTCTTTCTCTCCATAATCATTTTCCACGTTCCGATGGAATTATTAATTTTGATCCCCTGTTATGATTTAACTTCAATCACTTATTTTGTATGTAATCAGAAAAAGTTATATTAGGTATATAATTATATAAGCATGCATGCTCTTTTTAACACAAATTAAAGTTTATAAACCAAAACTTAATTTAATTTAATGGGGTCAAATCAACGTTGGTATCGTCAGCTAGGAGAGAAAGAGTTAATGAAGAAATAAAAAGAATTAAATCAGAGACAATTACAATTTTTGTAAAAAAAAAAAAAGAGAGAAAAATGTTGACCACATAGTTCAAGTTAATTTATTAATATACCTATAATTATTTTTCTAAAAATATATCTATACATTTACACTACTTCCCACTGAAAGCAATTTGAAACTGGTATTTACTATTTATGCATATTTTTTTATTATTTAAAGATTACACAATGTGATTTTTACATGTCTACTTTTTTAAACTTTTCTCTTTTTAAATGGAGCAGGTTTACAAACATAAGAATACACTTAGTTTTGTCTATAAATATTTTACGAAATCAAAATATGACCTTAAGTTATAAAGACAGAAATTCCCTCACAAAATTACAAGCATTTAACTCAATTATTAAGCCAAGAAGCAACGTAACAAAGAGTATAAATAGTGTGTTTCCCAAGAAACATTAATATATTTGTAAACATTTTATTACAATAAAAGCATTACTCATTTCAAAGCTGTTTTCAAGTGGCATCATTACAAAAACTGGTCACACCATTCTCTTAGGCAGCTGTAACAGTCCTCTTGCTGCTTGGCATTAGCCCCACAGGTCTCTTTCAACCAATCCTTGAAGAGTTCAGGGTCTTTTTTAAACAACAAAAACTGCCCAAGAACAGTGTAGGCCTAACAATAGAATAAAAGACATATAAAAACAAAGTCATGGAATTGCCAATTTAAAAACAAAATTATGCTGTCAACACAAAGTAGGAGACAAAAAAAATAATAATCTTGTCAATCTAAAAAAAAAAAAAAGAAAGAAATTTTTTTAATTTAAAAAAAAATTTAAATATATTCCTACTATATTTTTAAATAATATTGTAAATTAAACATTGCGTGGGGTCAGGCATACACAAACGGAATATTGGTTGATTGGGTTTCAAGTCTGGTGACACTTATTTAGACTCATTTGTCTAATTAAGTATTAGTTTCTTGATTCTAGTCCAGATCTAAATTTTAATAAATTATACTTTAATAATTGTTTGCAATGATAGTTAGTCAACTAACAAAAACTCTTGATGAATACGTAAACAAAATATTATTTACTATGCAATTAGACAAGAAAAAAAGCTATTATTGACAGTTTATGAAGGTTTATAGTTAATAAGCAATTCTCCAAGCATCTTGTAATAACTGACCAGCCACAAAATTTATTTACAATCTTAAGTATGGAAACAAAACAGGTAAAGGCTTACAAACACAAAAAACAAAAACAACTAATACACATATCAGTGAAACAACAATTACAAGACAAAGACAAATTAAAAACAAATAATATAAAAAAAAAAAACTAATATTTATAACTGAAACATCTTTACAAAAAACATCCAATACATCTCACCCTATCATAGTTGTTTTCTTCCAGCCGCCTGCCCAGAACTTCTCCGATTCCAGCCAAATCTGTCACTGGCTTTTCCCCCATTGGCTCACTCACAAAGTTCTGATGTTTTTTTGATGTGGTTGACATCTTTGTACTACTGATCTACTGTAAACAATAACATACATATATTAAAAAGGAAATACTAAATGTTTTAGTCTTGTTTAGATGAAATATTCAATAAAAAACATTAAGGAGGCTTCAAATGTCACCAATGTCATGTTTAAACAGCGATGCCCACCAGTTTCTGGCCTGGGTGCTTTATAAATGACATGTTTAAACTGCTATGCCCAACAGTTTCTGACCTAGGTGCCATGTAAAACTAAATGACATTTAAACACTAAAACAGTGATGGCCAACAGTTTTCGGACATGTAAATAACAAGTATAAATTCAGCCTAAGTTTTTTTTTATTCTTTAGAAGCCAGGCTGCCAGGCTAGTTCTAGAAATAATCAGACTAGATCTAATCTAGATTCACTACAAAAGTAAAAGTTACTGTATAGAAGTCTGGTAGATTAGTAGAAAATAGTAGAGATAGCTCTAGAATACTCTAGATTTATATATCATATAGACTA